GGCCATGGGGGGTGGCTGAGAGTCTGCAGCTCTCGGTGAGGGTGCGGGAGGATAGAGAGCTTAGGTCCAAGATGGGAGACAGGAAGCCCTTCGAGGCAGGGCAGTGCTGAGTGTGGATGAGGACCAGGCTGGGAGGAGTGGAGCGAGCACAGCCAAGGGTCGTCTGAGAAGGAGGCCTCAAGGAGAGGAGGCTGTGGCATTTAGAGTAGAGTGCCTGTGTGGCCACAGGTGCAGGGGGACAGGCGTGAACTGGAGGCGTCAGGGACGTGGGACTTGGCAAGGAGCTGGCAGAGCAGGTGTGGGCACAAGAGGAACACAAGCAGGGAGGGAGGCAATCAGAGAGATGCTTCGGGGCTGTTCCTTCTTCTCCCCCAGGATAGGACATTATGGAGAAAGTTGTGGTCCCTGGCCATAATGCCGGGGCTTCCCTGGTCTGCTTTATAATACAGTGACAATAAAGCCTCATGCCCCCGCAGCTCTTCATTGATTACAAAGAGCTCTTCTGTCCATAGTCCTATGCCGTCGTTGTGTGACAACCTCTGAAGTAGTGGTTCTCCAAACTTCTTGGTCTCAGACTCTTCTCCCCTCTTAAAAATGATTGAGGTCCCCAAAGAGATTTTTTTCCTGTAAGTCATATCTTGTCAATATTTACCACATTAGAAAACAAACCTGAGAAAATTACAGAATGTCTATCTTTTCTTTCGTTTTAAAATAACAATAATAAACCTACTACATGTTAACATAAATGGCATTTTTATCAAAAGAATAACTATTTTCTAAAACAAAGACTGAGCGCAGTGGTGGACTCCTATAATCCCAGCACTTTGGGAGACCTAGGTTGGAGGATTGCTTGAGAACAGGAGTTCGAGACTAACCTGGACAACATAGAGAGATCCTGTCTCTACAAATTGTGAAAATACTAGCTGGGTATGGTATCACTCTTCTGTATTCCCAGCTACCCTGGAGACTGAGATGGGAGGATCGCTTGAGGCCAGGCAACAGAGCGGCACCCTGTCTCTAAAAAACAAACAAAATTAGTAGGAAGAGTTGACATTCTTCCATTTTTACAAATATGTTTGATGTCTGGCTAACTGGAAGATAGCTGAAGATAGATTCTCTCGCCTGCTACTGTACTCAGTCTGTTGGAATTCTTGTTTTGGTTGACTTAAATGAAGAACATACAGGCTCACACGGACACATAATTGGAAAGGGAGGACCTTACCGAACCCTAGAGGTTCTGAGTCCACATCTTGGGAGCTAATGTCCTAGAAGGAAGCTAAGCATTCCATTTTACAGCTGGGAAAACTGAGTCGTGGAGACAGCAGACCAGTGCTCCTGGAACTTTCTGTGACCCACCATTTCACCCTGAGGCTCCCTGGAGGAAGGACAATCCCTCTTGACCTGCCCTGGTCCCAGAATAGCCAAGTGTTGAACCAGCTAGTTTGCTGGGGGACAGACAAGAAGGCGCTGGACCGGGCAGCCCCGGAGACAGCCTCAGGCAGAGGCAGACGGTGGCCTAATGTTAACACCCACAGCCCCAGTCTGAAAAATGTGATAGCGCAGGCCCTGGCGCCCTCAACCCCCATGCTCCTGGGAGGAACTCGGTTCCCAGAAGCCTGCCCCTGGACACGGCCGTCGGCCTGGGAGTTCATTTCCTGGTTAAACAAACATCTATATTAAATGGCCCAGTTGGGCAACGCCCAGAAGCAGCTTCTGAGGAGTCTCGGGCACATGTCCTGCCAGGCCTTGGCAGTCTGGCAAAGACACATTCATCATTGCACAGTCACTGAAGCAGGACTGCCCTGTGCGTCTCATCCGGAGTCTGCCCATCTGGCAGGAGGGGCTGGGAGGGACGTGCAGAGAGGCCCGTGCCCAGACCCTATCAGAAGTCTGTCCCCCTCAGCTTGGAGATTGTAACAATGGTAATGGTGATAACTCCAGAAGTGTGGGCAGGGTGTAGTCACTGCCATCCATCATCTCATCTTGTCTGTGCAGGGTAGGAACACTCACCCATTTCCCAGATGAGGAAACTGAGGCGTCTGAGAGAGGCTCACCCACCGGCACACAGCCACTCATGGCCTTGCTGGGGTGAGGATCCTGGTGTCCTTACTCCCAGCTCAGTTCTCTTTGTGCCATTGTGGCCACACGCCAAGGGTCAGGAGATAGGGAGAGCTAAGAACTAGCCCAGGCTCTTCCTAGAGTGCTAGGCTGCCGCTGGCCTTTGCCATGCCATCAGAGATGTTTCCCAGTGTCACACGCCCACACATCTGCAAAGCACTTGGGCCTTGGAGCCAGACTACCTGACTTTGAATCTTGGCTCTGCCACTTAGGAGCAGTGACCTTGGGCAAAGGGGCTTCTTTGTGCCTCAGTTTCCCCATCTGTACAGTGGAGATAATAATCACACCTGCCCCGTATGTTTTGGGGAGGATTCAGTGAGGTAATACGTGTAAAAATCATAGTCATGCTTAGCACATACTAAGTGTTCAGTAAGTGATTATATTATGAAGTAGGCAGTATTATTCTCCCTGTTTTACAGATGAAGCTCAGAGAAGAAAAATAACTTGCCCAAGGGCTTAAGGGTAAGAAGGGGTGGAGCCTGGGATTTGAACCCAGTCTTCGGGCCCCAGAGTACAGGCTCTCAACACCCTCCCGCTTGACAAGTGAGAATTGAATTATAGGCCCCTAGGCTGTCAGAGGTCATCTTGACTCCTGTCCTCGTGTTACAGGGAAGAAAATCAGCTTCAGATCTCCTGACCTCTCTCTACAGCATAGTTGTCTTTATGGATGCTTTGCCATAGGGTTTCTTGCCCGCTTGGGCCCACCCTGGCAGAGCACATTCTCCCTTGCGAGAGCTTTGTTGACAAAGACTTTTCACACTTGGGATCCTGCTGGAGCCCCTGCATGGGGAGGTGAGCTCCTCAGGTGCACAGAGCCCTATGCCAGCTCTGCAGGTGCAGAAGGCCATGGTGAGCCACGACTGTGTGCCTGTAGGAGGCAGGAGGTCTCAGCAGGTCTCTCCACATCCCTTCCTGCTTCTTGGATGATATGACACCCCAGCCAAAGAGGCTGCAGTAGGATGCAGAAGGCCAGCTGACAATGGGCCTGTTTGACTCTGTAATTTTTTTTTTGGTTGGAGTCTCACTCTGTCACCCAGACTGGAGTGCAGTGGTGACTCCTGGCCACTGCACCCTCAAACTGCTGGGCTCTGGCGATCCTTCCGCTCAGCCTTCCAAGTAGCTGGAACTACAGGCGCGCGCTACCACAGCCAGCTAATTTTTTTATTTAATTGTAGAGATGAGGTCTCGCCAAGTTGCCCAGGTGGGTCTCAAACCCGTGGGCTCAGGCAATCCATTCACCTCAGCCTCTCAAAGTGTGGGATTACAGGCTGAGCCACCGGGCCCAGCTGTAACTTTTTTTTCTTATTACATCCCTGGGTCCTTGTTTCTGTTCCTGCACCACCTCAGTAACAAAAACGACTTGGAAAGCCAACAATTCTGTAGTGCTTACCATGTGCCAGGCACTGTTCCAAGTGTGAGATATATGTGTGTGCATGCACCCACTCATTTGATCCTCATAATGTGCATGTGTGCTAGGTACTATTCTATTGCTATGCCCATTTCACAGATAAGATCATTGAGACACCTAGAGATAAGTGACTTATTCAATGACTAAGAGTCAGAGGCAGGAATCTGCATAGTTCCACATTCCATGCTTTTAGCCATAGTGCACCTCAGTTGCTCTCTGCAGGTTGTGAATTTCTCATCACTAGAGTGATTCACTTGACCAGGCTCCTCAAGTTTAATAACATGCAAGGTTCAGCACAGAAAGGAATTTAGAGGTTGGTTTGTTCATACGTGGGGAAACTGAGGCTTGACCTCAAAAGTGACTTGTGTCAGACTGCACCAGGAGGCAGGTGTCCCGGCTGAATGCCCTCTGCTCCACCATGGGCCACCCGCCCCCAGCCATGCCTGCATGCTCCCCGTCTCCACCATCTGTTGCGCTGGGCTGCCCCAGTGTGTCTTTGCACCTCTGGATCCCAGCCGCCAGCGGTGTCTGATACCTGCAGGTGTGGGGTCACAGAGAGAGAGTCTGCTTGTGGCAGAGGGTCCAGGCATCTGTCTCAGCCTTGCCCATTTTTCCTGTTTATAGACACAAAGGGGTGGGGCTGAGAGAGATGCCTGGGCCCTCTCAGTCTATTCCCAAATCTTTCAGGTGTGGAAACTGGGGCTCAGGTTAAACAGCTCGAGCCCCTTCCAGGGTCAGTCTGTGGAATTAGTGCTTCCCAAGTGGAATGGACATTCATTTGTTCACTCACTCATTTATTCTTTCAGTCAACAAAGGAGAACAACAATATGCTAAGTACTGGTCACGCAGAGGTGAGATTCATGGTCCCTGACCTCCCAGAGAAACATAATTGCCTCACAGCAATGTTAGGAGTCATGGGGCGGGG